GGGGAAAAGGGGGCGGGAATACAATTCCCCCCAAGTTCCCCTTTTCACCCGCAGGAAGTGGGTGAGGGAAAAGGCCCCAGGCGTAGGGGGGGAGCGGATTTTACGGATGGGGGGGGGGAGTAAGGAGTAGGGCCCGGTACATACTCCAGACGGGGGGCAATGTTTTTGCGATGCGGTTGGGGGGGGGGGGGGGGTACCATGCCTTTAGTAATATCGTACCAGTATATGTTAATTGGTGTACCGGTATGATGCTCGTAAAAATACATTTCAACCTTTTCACAGTACTAGTAGAGTACACCTTACCCACCGGTACTGTACAGTACCTACTTTTAATCCTCCTCCCCAAAGCTTACCTCCAAGTGAAGGACAAGAAGAAGGAGAAAAAGTGTCCCAAAGTGCTCCGGTTGAGGAATCCTCCCTCCCCCCCCCCACACGCACACCATGACAAGGTACGAGTATTAGCAGAGTCATCTAAATGGTCCAGTTAACCCTTATGCATGAAGCACCGCATTCACTCGAGCACCGAGCCGCCCAGGCGCTAGGACGTTGGAGTTGCCGTTGTAGGTAAGGTAGGTAGGGTAAGGTAAGGAGCGGCACTTTTTAATGCAAGTCATGACAAAAACTTTTTCTCGAGCTCACTTTTCTCCCACTTTTCTTTTTTTTTTTTTTTTTTGAGGGGAGGTCAGTTTCGCCCCCCCCCCCTATGGTATCCAAGAGGGGGAATTTTGGACGTCTTGAGCGCCAAGTTCTTTTTCTTTTTTCAAAACAATCCAATTCTCAAAAACGACAAACCGTTTCTGGGAGTACGAGTACGAGTACCGGTACTGTACAGGTATCACACAAACGAGTTTATGCCAACTCCTACAACGGCTTACAGCATCTGAAGAAGAGCATGATACCGTAGACTCCCGGTACCGGTATGATACATGTGCTAGCACGTGATACCCTATCATATAGTAACTCGGCAACCTCAATCACCTTGGCGAATCATCCCTTCCCTTTCCCTTCCCTTCCCTCCTCCCCAAGAACAAATCCCACATGCCAAATCGGCCGCACTAAGCAACCAAACTATGATAACCCGTCATTTTTACCACACCCCGCCCACGAACATGAATCAACGAGCGACCACAACTACTCGTAGACTACTACTCGAGTAAAGGGAGAGAAAAAGAAAAAAAAAGATAAGACTTCTTGGCTCGAGAAGCGCCGGGGGAGCTAGAATTTAAATAGGAAAAGGTTAATCCCAAAGGACGAGCCCTGTGCCGGGGGGCCAATTCAAGCGAACCGGGACCTTCCGTGATTGCGATGGGACTGTGCAGTGGGCATTATTAGACCGACGCGCATCTCTTTTCTATCCTTGTGCTGTCCCCGTCTTTCTTCCCCGGAGAAATCGCAATTTTTTACAAATTGGAAGGGGTAACGGGATACGGTACTCGTAGACCTCTGCCCGACCCAACACGATTTATGATGCAAGTATTATCCTTTTCCCCGAGTCCGTAGGGTTGTCTCTTTCGGTGCCCCCACGATATAGGGGGTTTGTGTTAGTTCTCTAGCGGGGTGAGGGGGAGTTCGTGGCTGAAGGAAAGAGGAGATTGAGTTGTTGGGAATTGCGTTTGGGGGTTGGAAAAAAGAAAAAAGAAAAAAAAAGATTCAAGCACTGACGACGACCTTTTCAAAGTCGATGATACCGGTACTCAATAAGTCTGTCACACCCCGCACTGAGTTGTTTGTTATTGTAAAAATAAAAAAAATAAAAAAAGCCTGTTTTAAACAATACCCAGATACAAGGAGAGAGAAAGAAAGAAAGGACAACCACCCCCCAACACTGATTGTTTTGCAAAAGGGAGAATGGGAAAAAAACATAGATATAGGTCAACAGATATAAGTTGGGGCGGGAGACAAGAATTAAGGTGGAAAGTAAGCATGACGGGTGAAGAAGGAGCAGTGGGGGGTGGGAAAAGAAGAGAAGAGAAAAAAGCAAGGACGACAAAAGAAACAAACTATTGGTTCTTGGGTTTCTCTTCCGATCCAACTTTCTCGTTCGAAGATCCCGAATGCTGCGGCCTGTGTCCATCAATCATTTGACTGTGCGCCGCGATACCATGACGATCTCCAGCTGTAATTGGTGAATTAAATGTTAGCCCAACCTCCAAGATGAGGGAAAGTGTGGGTGGGGTGGTTATCCATCATACCAGTGACAGGAGAATTCGTGTCGTGATGCTCCTTTGCCGGTGTCCAAGCCAGATAATCCCTCCGAACCTCAACATAATCGTAGGCAAACTCGCCGAGTTGATCGTCGTCCATGCCCAAGAGCTCGGCCTGCTCGCTCGCGCGAAGCTCGAGTCCGGGGATCTTATCGATGATGAAGCAGATGAGGGTGGTGACGACAAAAGTGTACGCGGTGCAGGCAACGATGTAGGCGAGCTGGATGTAGAGCTGCTTCCACTTCTTGTTGACGAAGCCGCCCACGTAATTCGCGTTCACGCCGTCGAGGCCGATGATGTAGTCGGCGCCGAACAAGGCATTGAAGATGAGGCCGACCATGCCGGCGATGCCATGCTCAGCGAATACGTCCATTGCGTCGTCGATGCGGACCAGGTACTTCACCTTGGTGCCATAGTTGCAGACGACCCCAGTTACGACTCCCAGGAGGATGCTGGCATGGGGCATGATGAAGCCGGATGCTGGCGTTGCCGCCACGAGGCCAGAGATGAGGCCTGAGCAGAGACCGACCATTGACCATTTCTTCGCCAATCTGAAATCGAGGAGGACCCATGTTACCCCGGAGAAGATTGCCGTAAGATTGGTGTTCCAGCAGGCGACGACCGCGCGAAGGTTGGCGCCATAGGACGATCCACCATTGAATCCGAGCCAGCCGAACCAGAGGAGGATAGTGCCGAGGGTGATCAAGGATACATTGTGGGGCCTGAAGTTGAGGAGCATCTTCTCTTGACGTTTGCCGAGGACGAGAGAGTATGCAAGCGCGCCCACTCCGGATGCGATCTCGACAGGCCCGCCACCTATTGACAGTATTAGCTCCACCACACCAGCGAGCAAGTCAATTCGCTGATACATACCAGCGTAGTCCAAAACACCATAATCGAAGGCCCATCCACTAGGGTTCCACGCCCAACAGGCGATCGGACAGTAAACAAGAGTAGTCCACAAGAAAGCAAAGACCATGGCGGGTAGAACCCTCCCTCGCTCAGCAATAGCGCCCATAACGATAGCAACAGTAACGGCGGCGAATTGCATCTGGTAAAAACTGAACAGGAGTTCTGCAATGAGAGGACTGGGTGATGGGGCACCGAGTGTGTTCCGCAGAAAGGCGTGGTGAAGGTTTCCGATGAATCCATTTGTTGCAGTCCTGGAGAAGGCTAACGAGTATCCCCAAAGGTACCATTGGAAAGTAACGATCGCCGATGAACCTATACAAGCCCAAATGAGGGAGAGTGCAGACTTGCGGCGCGCGAGACCACTGTAGAGGAAGCCGAGCCCGGGCACCATGACAAGTACCATGGCCGAGCATACGATAATATATGCTGGATCCCCTTTTGTGTACCATTGGTTCAGATTCTCCGTTCCTAGAGTAAACCATCCGGACGCCTTAGTGAACCGGAACTACCCAAAAGTACGCAGGAAATGGCGGCTTCGGAGATAAGCATGACTTACTGGAATCACCCCCAGTTTCAGTATTATCCGCAGTGAAGTTCGATGGAGGTCCCATCCATGAGTACGACATCTTGAAGCTTCCCTTATTTCAATATCCGTCTTGGGAGAAAAAAGTTGACCTGAATTTCCACCTCAAATAGTGGTTGCCGGATTCGAGCTTTCAGTACGCTGTCTGGAAGGATGATATTCACGACCCGGCCGCGAGTCTTTCAGGGAGGGGGAAGTAGGGAAGTTTAATACCCACCCTCGGAAGGGGACATTATCGGATGGGGCAGGCCTTGTGTTACACAGATTGATCGATAGGGTTTTAAATTAGTGTAGTTGGTTTCTAAGTTCGAAGAGGGTGTGAGGTTAGCGGCGCAATCTCGTGGGGTCAACAGGCAAAGGATCGGTATGATACAAGTGCTCGAGCGCTAGTACCGCACCCCATGCATTTCCCCACTGGACTACCGTAGACTATTTCGGGGGAACGTCTTGCGATTCGCATTCGCACGAGTGATGGATCATCAAGCACTGTAAAAACCGCTGCAGTGTCAGTACTGTACATTGCGTCTTAGTCTACCCATCAGTCGAGTTGCTGGTGTTCGCATTGGCATGTACCGCGGCGCCTTAGCTTTTACCTGAGAGGCAATTTGAAGCCCTCTTTGTCCAGGCTTGGCTTGCTGTGATTACTCATGGTAACGAGCAAGCAGGTTAATGAAAAGGTTACTTTGGGGGAAGGAGGTAAAGCTTTTCCGTTTCTTGAGGGTGAATTTCTCACCTCCTGTAGCAATGGGTGAGGTAAATCAATACCAGTATTGGAAATGCGATACCGACGTCTATTGAACTCCATTCCAAATTCCAAGCCCTTGGCATGGGATGACCCATGCTAGCCCAAGCCGCTTTATTTTCTTATCTGGAACACATGGTTGCTTCTGTCTTGGCGAATTGTGCAGAGATAAGAAGGACAATTCTTAGTCTTGTGGCTGACTCAAACGGGTACCTTTTTTGGGTCAAGGAATTTTTTAGACACTCGCTCAACCTTGCTGCTTCCGGCCGATGATTGTTCCAAGCCCTCTCCAGATTTCCATGTTTCATTGGAGGGATGTACTCGTACTAGTACCGGTACTGGCTTTTAGGTACCAGTACTCGAGTACTCGAGGACGCCTCCACCGCCCTTATCTCTTGGCCCACCGAGGCGACGCCATAGGAGCCTTGAGATACGCGGTACAGTACCGTACGAGTACTGTGCCTCAGTGGAGAGGGGAAACGCACCGCACCGTACCCGTACTGTACCCTCCGATGAAGCCTCCATCGGTATCCCCGGACTTTGCCTCCTCTTCCCCATGCAGGTTCGGTTATTTCGGTCCCAGAACCAGTGATGTACTGGTGTCTATCTCTGATCTCCTGGATTCATGTATAAGTCGGCGACTTGCTCATCAAATCACAAACTTTGACCACTACGGCAGCTCATTCCCTCCATGTCCCACAGCCAAGGTATCTCCAGTTAGGGAACGTTACTTGTTGTTGGCGCTCTGCCTTACTTGAGGATCGTACGGTACGCGCCGGAACCTGGATTTCGAACCGGAGCACCGCATTTTTGCGTGTTACTTGTAGCCTAGATCCGGGGACGGATTTGCAACATACCCAATTATACGCAGCGCAGCGCATTCGAAACATGGCACTGTAGCTTCGCACAAAAATGTGCCATGCTCCCCCACTAACTTTACTGCCACTCGTTATGCTGGAGGTCTTGATGGCATGCCTTTACGTTTGTTACCTTCCCTGGTTGTCTGCCTGGGCTAAGGGTACAAGGGCCGTACCGGGATTACCACTGTTACGCGTTGTTGTATGTCAACGGGCTTAGTAAGGGTAAAGATAACAATATCCCGGACCCGGAACGACCGAACGAATCTTAAACGAGGTGGACCGTCAAAAGCAGGGGGATCGGAGCCAAACGAGATCAACAAGGTCGGGCCAAGCCCTGAACAAGCTTTGGGAGGTGAAAAAAGGGTAACTTTTATTAGGTATGTGTGATATGATACGGTGGGTTGAACGAATAGGAGTTCAGTAGGAGGAAAGGAAAAGAAAGGAAAAGATCGACAGCGACGTTGTGGTGGGCAAGTTATCGGCGGCCGCCGCCCGAACGATTTGCAAAACGTGAGAGGAAATATACTCGAGTAAGGTGCTGTACGAGTACTGTACTCGAGTAATCTCTCCTTCCCACAATGGAGCTATGACAAGAGATTATGAAATGAAGCAGTGTAACGTTACTTCCCAGGGTCCATCTCACTCATTTCATCCGGATGATACAAGTACGAGTACTAGTACAGTACCGGTACTCGAGTACGGTACTGGTACGCTGACACCGTCCTGCTGATGGGGCTTTTGGCGGTACAATGACTCAAGCGCTATTCAAGTACTCGTACAAGTACCGTATACCGGTATCACGCCTTGGGTCGAGGTTGAAGGTGAGGTCTTCGGACAGCCTGCGGTACAAATAAAAAATAAAAAATGATAGAAATCGGAAAATTGGACACTGGATTCGAGGGTACTGACTGGAGCGTTGGGTGGCTCGAGCCAATCGGTTTCCATGTTTCTGACCCCAGTTTTCCAATTGTTTTTTTTTTTTAAATTTTTTTACTGCAGGCTGCCCTGTACTCGTACCAGTACTTGTACATAAAAGCCTTGCCGGGTAATATCGATCCAAATTCAAAGTGCACGGGTTTTTCTCCCACGTGGTTATGATGCTAGTACAGTACAGCTTTTTCTTTCGCCTACCCACCCCACAGCCTTGGCCGAACTGCGAGGTCTGGCGCCACAAGTGGGAGCACGCTATCTTGTCAAATGATTTCACTCTCCCGTGATAGCGGGGCCCGCCGATACTGATCCTCCTTCTTAAGTGAGAAATCTCGGACCTTCATTTTTGTAGCATAAATACCATGGCGAGGCCAGCTGATCTTTGAGTGGACGATAAGTTAGCGCACATCTCTTTTCCTTGCGCATTGAGTGGGAGGGTCGCACGACGTGCGATCACGTTATATCACTCGTCCAATCGAGTTTTTAGGATGCTACTGCGCTAGAAAAAATCATTCAGAGCCTTTGTAAATAGTCTTTGCAATCGCAGATGCGTGTGGGGATTCAGCGGTGTTGACCTTTCAACACGGGTAATTTTGGTTCGGTTCGAAAGCTATCAGTTCGGGAGAGTAATCGTAAGATATTATGGTGTGATGTTATATCATACCTCCCCCAAACCATCCCGCGATGTTTCACCGTCTGCCAGATATAGGTGGAGATGTTTGGAATACCACCGATTGCGGTGGTGTAAGTTTAATCCACCATCGCATACCACCGATGCCAACCCGGGTCTCGGCCACACCCCCACACCAGGACGGACAGGGTTTCACGACGTCGAAACAAGCGGATGGCACTGTAGGAAATGGTGCAGAAAATATGTGAGGAAAGATATAACAAATAATTCTTGGAGTTTCTCTTGCCTTTATGTATATTTTTCTTTGCCCTTGGCTCAATTATTGAGGAAGATGTTGGGGTTATCTTAGGGGTGAAAATATTTTTTGCATGGATTCTTGGAAGAAACATTTTTATGTCTTTTGGTCGTGAGTTTTTGTTGCTCTTGGCATACCTGTGCACCACATCAGGATTTAACGCAGAAGAGTGGCACGGGTACCGGTACCGTACGAGTATTCAGGCATATTAGTGAGCAAAAGTGATATGTTCGATTGATTATAAACCTTTTCTCACCAGACAGTCCGCACCAGTCGCTCAGATGGTTTGGAATCGGCCCGTCGGCCGCGGTGGCGCTTTTAATACGTAAAGGTGTTACAACACGGATAACATGTTGTTATACTAGAGTTTGTAATACTGCCACTGCCTAGGATTTATTAGGATAACCGCGCCCTTACGGTCTCATTTTGGAATTCGTGAATACTGTACAGTACTTGAATATCACCTCTGTGCCAAGTGCTTCAAGGGCTTGAGTTTAAGGTGTGCTCGGTGTACTGTACGCTTACGACAAAGGTATCTCGTGCGATAAACTACGATAATTGCGGTATGCTCTAGGACATGAAATAGGGGGTAACCCTACCCACGATACCAGACTCACCACGATAACGAATGGTTAGGTTGGAGTTTGTGACGCTCGCTTGATTTAGGTTCATTCAGCTCAGATAATCTTGGGATCCTCGCACTAGTGTGAAAGCTGATCCGGGAGGAAGTGAAAAGTTTCAAGCTGACTACCCCAATGCTTGAGTTTCTGCATATAGCAGCTGAGCACCTCTGCAGCTTTGCAAGTACTGTACCTTTAGTACGGTATTTGACAGTAAATGTTTGAGGTTTTCTGTGCCAACACTTTAGGTTAAACAAGGGATTGGTTAAAGTACCATATGGTAGGCTTCAGATTCTCAGGTTGGGGCTCCAAACGAGCGATCCACATAGCCTTGCCTAGAGTTCCTCGAGATTGGGACCAAACTTTTGCCAAGGATGGGTTCAGAGTGCCGTAACTCATCCAGGAATGTAGGATTCTGTGAGGGCTTTTCTGGAAATATCTTAGCTGGAGTTAGAGCTTCAAATATACGGAGAATAGAGGATGGGGCCGCTGGGGGCCCTAATGCAGTCATGAATTCCGAATAAAGGGGGCTGCTCCGCTCACGTGTAGGCAGATGTGGGGGAGATGTGGATACTGTTACTGTAGCAGGGGCGAGCGGGATAGTTCCGTACCTGCATATCGTCAAACAGGGTGCTTTGCCCCCGCCGGATCCCTGAATCACAAGGAAAGCCTCCTGCACTCCTTTACCGGCTTCAATTGTGTCTTAAGGGTGCTAGACCTATCTCGGTATTGAGCTCAAGGCGGAGTCGGCCCCCTATTTTGTGCGGTCGTATTTGGTATCTAGTTTGGATAATCTGGGGTAAGCTTATCAAAAATATTACCCCCGAGTTTTAAGCTCTAAATAAATGACGCAGGAGCTCTGCGAAGCATCTCGTTAAGCAGTGTCACTCAAACTCCTAAATTTTTAATTGAAATATATTACCGGAATGAGGGGGCTCTAGCCTCGTTTATTCGCTGGCTTCACCCCCAAAGACATCATTTGCAACCTTTCTCCTCAGTGTGAGTTGGGTAACAAAAATCTACGACCATTGTTTGCCAATCAAGTATAGGGAAAGGAATGGTGGAGGGCTGGGGACGATATGAAGGGAGTG